CTGTGGTAATTTCACTACCTAGATAATTGTAGTCCTTTTTCTATAATAATACTAGCTGATCCAGTGCACTTCCGCCACTTCGTTACCCCGTTAAATGTAGCAACTCTATATGACTCAGACTTTGTTTAATTCGTTATTTAATATTTGGTTTATGGTGTTCAAAACTAATTTTAACTTTTCTGTTGCCCGGAATCAAAATTCTGATTCGCAGCATATTATATTATCAAGTAGGGCAATCTACCTGCGGTAGGTCGCGAACACCGTGCCGTTTGTACGTAAGTGTATGATTTAACTCTAAATACGTATCAAAGTTATACCAAGTTAGTCGTTTTTACAAAATCCCAACCTAACCTAACCGTAATAAAATCCGATAAATCAAAAAAAAAAACCAAATTTAACCCTTTTTAAATTAGCCTATCTTGTTCTCAGAGTTCTAATCTACACGCAAATATACACAAATTATATCTAAATGTAAATAATAATAACAAAAAGTAATAATACAAATCAAAAAACCATTCCCGTAACCAATAGCTATCAATATACAATACACTTTTATTATTTTAATCAGCAACTAATATTTTTATTATTTAGTTAATTTTTTCTGGATGGATGACGTCACTGTTGCATTTTTTGACATCAATTTTTTTTACTTTCCCTGTAAATTTTTTAAAATTTTCTTTCATAAGAACTATATTAATATATTATAATAGTTGCGCAACTGGTAATTACAAATAAGCTATTTCTAATAGTAAACTAAATTTAATTTAATTTCCGTTGAGTTTTGCGTTTGCTATGCTTAACGTACCATGCACGGGCCATTTTTTTTTCATCGGGTCTGTTTCACTCAGTCGAATTTGACGTTTACCAAGGAAAATACGATTAACCTTTTTACAATAATGATTAATCATTAACTTAGAGACATTAAGTGTAGGATTTTGTAGAATGTTTTCGTGATGACATAGAATGGACATTTTTTGTTCCACACAACAAATAATTTGTTGAACAATTGTTAAGAAAGTAGAAGATGGATACTTCAAAGAATTGTGGCCAGGTTGATACTCTTGAGCAGCGATAAGTTGGTTTTCTTTAGATAGACTTTAAGAAGAAAGATGATGAAAGCAATATTTACAACTTTTAATGGATCTTTGTTCAATTTTTTTAAAATATACCCAGCTATATATGTTTGTATTTTTAATCGTAGAAATTCAGTGGTTGATGACAATTGATGAATGGTTTCAGGTAGATCTGCATCTATAGTTATGTTAGTGGTAGGTGTTGAACATTGGGCAGCTTTGTCAAACAGATTTTTGAAAGAGGACCTTCTGTAAAATCTTCCTCACAATTTGCTCCTAGTGAATGTGGTGAAATCATTTTGCTGATGACCAATGTTTTATAAGCAGAAACAAATGAATGACAATTTGGATTAATTGAACCTATTGACGGAATAACTCCAAAAAAGTTTTCCAGGGAGTCCTGATTCAAATGTCTAAAAGAATTGATCGGATTCCTTGTGAGCCATTTTTTATGATAATCGAAATTTAATTGAATATATTTTTTAAAGGAATCATCTCTAATTTTTGTTATTCAATTATGAATGGTTGGAGTTGATATTTTGTTGCCTTTTTCATTAGCAAATTCATTGTACTGAGTATTTTTAAGCTATTTGCAAAAGGTTTGTGACGAGGACTATGGTTTTTCACAGCTGTGCTGTACTTTTTGCCATCAACAATTTTGTCAAAACTACCGTTGAGAGAGTCAAACAAGTCATCAAAAAAATAGCACAGGGTAGCAGTATCCTTAGCACCAGAGTTTATGATATTTCGAGCTGAAAAATATCAAAATAATAAAAAAGACATAATAGGAAAGTATGTGTATATACCGTACTTACAAGCTAAAAAATTCATTGTGGATGCTGCTGGTTGTGAAAACCTTTCATATTTTCAACTTTCTCGGGAATGATGTGCTGGTCTGTAAGTCTTGGCAACATTTTACAATCTGGTGTTAAACTATCAACATTGTACAGCTCTACCAAGTGACACCATTTAGCTTGTTTCTTAATACCATCAACATCAGTAAACACGTGACGTAACGTAGTGTATAGTAATAATAATTTAATTACAATATAATACGGGTAAGTAAGTGACGTATTGCACGGATTTGGACCAAATCTGGACTTTTGCGATCATACCATGTTGTTTATATCATGACGTGACGTATCGTAAACGCGTGTTATTACTTATTAGTTTACATTGATTAAGTTTATACTCGCTAAACCGGCGTGGGAAATGCCCCATCGTTATATTGGTGAGTATGAATTTAACCAATGTAAATGAAAACGCCTAAGGCATGGGTATCGTACTCGTGGGTTTCAGTTTACATAGGTTAAGTTTATAAGCTCAATAACGATTAAGGAAACTCGCCATGGCCAGTATGAACTTAAACAATATAAACTGAAAACGCGACGTATGAAACTCGTCTATATGAAACGGCCTAACGGGACTAACAAAATAGCAAATGCTTGCCTTTGGAATTACATTGAGACACGACACATTTATATGTTTTTTTTGGTGGCATAATTACACGCAAAACTAAATAAAAACGAATGTTACTAAAGCTAGGAGGCCCTAGGCTACATGGTATTCTTTAAGTTTAATAATTTATATATTTAAAATAAGTATATAAAATTACTGTGGAACAATTCATTAGGGATAATAGATGAAACAAATTTAAAACAAGTGATATGCTATTTTATGTTTATTAAAATGCAATATGAATTGTATTAACAATTCAATGTAAAATATATTGCTCATTATGGTACCATACGACAAACATAACAAGGACAACTTACTGATCCTATTAAAAAAAAAAAAAACAAAAAAATCATATTTATTAATTTATAAAATTGAAATAAAATTATAAAGTATTTTTACCCGTGCATATGGTCCTATTATGCCATGTATGTATCCATCATCGTGGTGTGTCCAGCTCTTCTCAAAAATCCTGTGAGGTCCTTATCTCTGTTGAGTTATTGCACATGACCTGCTAAGACAGTGGTAGTGTTCTCTCGTTCCCTTCTTGATGCTCCATCTCTATTCTGAAATGTAATTAAGTTAAGAAAAAAAATATAATTTTATAACATAAAGTAGTGATTGTGTGACATAACGTAGCACGCTACTCCATTTTTTCCACTTGGAAGACAATTTATGAATCTTTATTAATAAGTAAATACATATTATTTGTATTTATGATGATAACCAAGGTTTAGAAAAATAAAATATCAGTAACCAGCCCAAAAATAAATTCATGTATGTTAAAAAAAAATAATCACCATTACATTTTTTCTGGCTTGGTAAAATTCAACGATACACTGGTTTTCAAGGACAGTTAGTTTCTTTGTAAGCAAAATTATTTATCAGTAAGAAATAAATATAAATAATTATAATATTTAATATACATATATATTAGAGCAAGACATGCATACAATAAAAATTATACCATTATCCAGAAACAAAAATGAAATATTTAAACTAAAATTAAAATTGTTTAAATAACATATTTTCTTACTTATCTAACCATTAACTCTTTTTTGTTAAGTGGTTTACACATGACATAAATGAGATGTATATAAACACAACCATATAGAACAAGGATGCAACATGAACCAACATATCCTGTAAGCACAACTTCTTATTAGATTAAACACGAAACATAAAATAATACATATTATGTTATACTTACTTATAACAACAAACAAGGATACAACTTTTAAAACACATCACATCATGCACTGCAAGAACACAAGAAGAAAATTTCATATATTATTGTGTCTGTGCATTTGAGTTAGAAGTGTAGCGTGGAAAGACTCCAAGTAGTTCTGTATTCTTCTCCAAAAACACTTGTTAGACCTGGATCGACTAATGACAATCAAAAATATTCTACATACCCAATTAAAAAGATTCTCATACCTCGTTCAATTGCAGATGATTGCCTTGTGTAGTCAAGGATAGCACTGAAACCATGAGCCATAAAAAATGGACAGCGTGGATCATTCCAGGTAGCGGGTTGGTGAGGTAATATCAAAACCTAAAAATACAATGGAGTATTAAAGAGAAATACAATTGAATACAAATTTAAATTTAACATTCTAGAACGTGAGCTGTAACCGGGATTGAATTCAAAACACTGTTCATCTTCCGGTGGTGCGGTATTGACTAGCAAAATAAATTTTTTTCTTTGTTTTAATTTAACTATCATTTAGTGCACAAAGTTATTATAAAGTTAATTGGGTAAAATGAAACCAACAGAATCATAATTGGCTTTCTGGAAATGATTGCTGAACGGCTGACATCAGAGTTTTTTCATAATCTGTAATAAAACAAACACGTAAATAATTTGAAGTTAAAATATTTCGTATAATATCAAACAGAGCCGCATAAGCTTCTTCAGTCATACTCCTGAGTAGAGCATAGACCATTAATAGAAAAATTAGTTAGAAATATATTAAGAAAAAAGAATTTAGACTACATTAATAATAATATCAATTATCCAACACTTACAACACTTTTGAAAACAACCTGGAAAGTAAGGAAACATTTTAAATCTGCTGGACACGAGGCCCAATCTTGAACGTTCCATCAATCCCAACCAATGTCACAGTTTCCAATTCTTCTCTGTATTTGTCAATTACATCCATGTTCGAAAAGATCACACAAATACTCCTTCCATCGACGACTTAAACTTGTTAAAAGAACCTAGTAATATTTTTTTAAATAAAATGGATAGTAATTTAAAACATTTTACCTTAAAATAATTCAATAGATACTAATAATTACAAATTGAATACAATTATTATATGGTTTTAGGAAAAGTATTCAAAACTACAAACACAGATGATCGCAGTCCGTCTTCAAGGAGTGTCTTGCTGACGTAGTCCTGTCCATACGCTCCCGCATCCCTTGGTCGCTTGCCCGAAGGCACGCCTGTCTCAGCAGTTGCATGTTTTACAGAAGCTGGGGCCATGCTTGACACCCCCTCATCCGAATGTTGTGGTTGCCTGATGACGAAGGCAACAAGCCCGCTTCGTTGGACCTGGTGTTCGAACCACATCCACCTGCTACCAACGACTCCTGGAGGTCCGATCCCCCTGGAGTTGAAACAATATTATCACATTCACTGTTCATATTGTGGTTTGCGGTTTTCCTTCCGTCGATTTTACAGTCTGTCTTCAAGGAGTGTCTTGTTGACGGAGTCCTGTCCATCAACTCACGCATCCTTTGGTTGTCTGTCTCAGCAGTTGAATGTTTAACAGAATCCGGGTCCATGCTTAACACCCCCTCATCCGAGTTGGTTCGGTTGCCCGATGACGAAGGCAGCGGGCCCCACTCTGTTGGATCTGGTGCTTATACCAGATCCACTTGCTACCAACGACTCCTGGAGATCCAATCCCCCTGAAGTTGAAACAATATTGTCACGTTCACTGTTCATATTGTGGTTTGCGGTTTTCCTTCCGTCCATTTTACCTACTGGCAAGGGTCTGTTTTTAGCTGTGCTGTACTTTTTGCCATCAACAATTTTGTCAAAACTACCGTTGAGAGAGTCAAACAAGTCATCAAAAAAATAGCACAGGGTAGCAGTATCCTTAGCACCAGAGTTTATGATATTTCGAGCTGAAAAATATCAAAATAATAAAAAAGACATAATAGGAAAGTATGTGTATATACCGTACTTACAAGCTAAAAAATTCATTGTGGATGCTGCTGGTTGTGAAAACCTTTCATATTTTCAACTTTCTCGGGAATGATGTGCTGGTCTGTAAGTCTTGGCAACATTTTACAATCTGGTGTTAAACTATCAACATTGTACAGCTCTACCAAGTGACACCATTTAGCTTGTTTCTTAATACCATCAACATCAGTAAACACGTGACGTAACGTAGTGTATAGTAATAATAATTTAATTACAATATAATACGGGTAAGTAAGTGACGTATTGCACGGATTTGGACCAAATCTGGACTTTTGCGATCATACCATGTTGTTTATATCATGACGTGACGTATCGTAAACGCGTGTTATTACTTATTAGTTTACATTGATTAAGTTTATACTCGCTAAACCGGCGTGGGAAATGCCCCATCGTTATATTGGTGAGTATGAATTTAACCAATGTAAATGAAAACGCCTAAGGCATGGGTATCGTACTCGTGGGTTTCAGTTTACATAGGTTAAGTTTATAAGCTCAATAACGATTAAGGAAACTCGCCATGGCCAGTATGAACTTAAACAATATAAACTGAAAACGCGACGTATGAAACTCGTCTATATGAAACGGCCTAACGGGACTAACAAAATAGCAAATGCTTGCCTTTGGAATTACATTGAGACACGACACATTTATATGTTTTTTTTGGTGGCATAATTACACGCAAAACTAAATAAAAACGAATGTTACTAATGGCACGTATAACGTTATATTTGTTGGTATTATTATAAATTATAAAAATGTGGCGATTCGCGCCCACACAATAAAATGTAAAAAGGCATGGCGATAAATACACAACGGAACTGTTGCGACCGCGGCGGACTACGTTGACCGATGCCGTACCGTGGAAAAATCTACTTATTATTAATTAATAACAACCAAAAATATTTAATAATATTTATAACAATAATAATTGTGTGTGTGTGTGTGTGTTTGATCCGGTTGGACAATTCACATTGTCGCGGCGGTGACAAAATGTTTAGTTAAAATTATTTAATATAATAGTAACTAGCTACATTTAAAAAATATTTATAGATTTTAGGATTAACTTAAAAAATAGTAAAAAGTATTAAACTAGACGCCTACAAAAGGTTGGTTTCTTTCAGTGGAAGACATAAGCGCCAAAATAAGATAAGAAAAAAAAGTTGTATCGCACAAAAGCACCAAAATTGTATCGTGCAGAAGCGCCAGAAATTAAATAACAGATATTAAATTTAGAACTATATCGCTCAAAAACTCCAAACGCTTAATCTTAATCAACAAATGTATTATCTGATTACGATAGATTGTAAAATAGACAGTGTGTGAGCAGTTTGTGTTATAACATATTGTTAGTACCTATTTCGTAAGCATCCGTTAAAATGGATTTTATAAAAACTGTTACGAACAAAGGTGTTGTGTGTATTTTATTTAAAGAGCAAAAATATAGATTTTTAGAAATGGCCAGTGGTAAATGGTAATGTGTCATTGAGGTGTACCAAAAAAAATGTTCTGCTAGAATAGAGATGGATAAACCTATGACTGCGATTGTTCGTGTTAATGGTTACCATTTACACGATATAGTGAACGATCATGATGCTCAGTGTCATATTTTGGGCAATAATTGTAAGAGAAAAGCAACTGAAAATATTACCGACCGACCATCGAAAATAATGCGTCACGAGTTGTGTGTGCTGAAAATATTGAAATGGTTTCATATGATATTGTAAATATTCGAGTTTCAATGCACAGACAAAGACGTAAATTATTGCCGTCAACGCCTCAATCATTGGAAGAAGCTATTAATCAAGTTAGTAACCGGAATATTTTTAACTTATAGGAACGAAACGTTTTGTCACGTAGATACAGAAAGCAAAATCATTTATCTGACCACTAAATCTAATATTCAATACATGTGCCATAATAGTTCACTTTTAGTTGCCGATGGTACATTTTACGTATGTCCAAAATTTTTTTACCAGCTATATACGATACATGCTTATAGCTGTGGAGATGTTTACATTTAATTTACTGTCTAATACCAAGTAAAACATCAAATTGCTACGAATCAATGTGGAAATACACACAAAAATTGTGTGAAAACTATAATTTAGAATTTTCTCCAAAAACACTCTTAGTTGATTTTGAAAAAGCAGCACATGATGGATTATTTAGCAGTTTTTCCAAACTCAAAAATAAAATGTTGTAAATGCACCTTTAGGGCTTTAGAGCCAGAAGCGGTTATCACTTAACGGTAACCTGTAATTTTGAATATAGTACCGGTAATTGGTTACCGGTAACAATAGGACCGGTAACCGATATCCAAAAAATTTTCGGTTAAACCGATTAAACTGATGACGGTTTCAAGCCCTGATTTAAGGTACATATCGATAATTGTTAAAATACAATTATAATGATATGCGTTTTTTCTGCCCGTCATCATTTTTTGGGAGAGAAGTGAATCAAGTTGATGCATTTGAGATGTAAATATTAAAAGTTCTCAGTAGTTTTACATTTACAATGCTTTTTTTATTATTTATATTACTTTTAAATCCAAACTCCAATAAAAATAAATTACAATTATATATTTTTTCTATTATAAATATTTACCTTTCTCCATTCGTTCCACGATTTATGTGGTCCAACCTCACTGTTCAACATATTTGCTATGTTTTCCCACAGTTTTTGCCTCTGTTTTACAGTAGATTTTATATTATTTTTCCCTGACACAAGCTCAGGATGAAATACTATAAAATCTACCAACATATTTTTTTGTTTGTCGGTGGAATTTGGTTTCTGCATTTTTTTGACTCCATTTCACAGAAAGTACACAAGCTCAATTTAAAAACGACTACAACTTTTTAATTTAATTGTAAAAAAATCATGAGTCATGACAAATTAAATTTATTTACTTAATTTGTTATGGACAAAAGGACGAATGCAAAAAAAAAAAACTACAAAGACGGAAATATGTTTATTAGAAAACAAAACAAAACTTAGTAGGTACCTACCCACAAATCATTAATCAATATTATTAGTTATTACCAAAGCAATGTAAATAATTATTTATCCATTATCATTAGTCATTACTACCCCGACCGACTGTGATAACATAACAGTTTTTTTAAAAACCCACCAAAACTGTGATAAGACAGACAATTTATAGAGTTACCACCTACATTTTTAATATTTCCTACGTTTCGAGTCACATAATAACAATATTATAAAAAATCAATTTTTTACAAAAAAAAAATCACTTTTCTTCAAACATAACAATTAAAATATTAAAAACATAAAAAAAACAATTAATAAAATATAGGTACATTTATTATATAGGTAACAGATTAGATAGGATCCAATCAAGGATTTTTAACAATAACTCAAAATATATTATAATAATGAATGCTATAAAATAATATTATACATTAGCAAAAAAAAAATCATCATCACCATTATCATCATTTCTGACAATGTTTGCACTGTCATATAAATTACTAATAGTCATTAAATTATACATTTTAATAGAAGGTTCAAATTCATGACAAGATGTTTCTTGCATGCATTGACTTGCATTAAGAAGACCATTTAATAATGGTGCTTGTAAGCGGTTACGTTGTTTAGTTTTGATGAGGTTAATTTTTGAAAACATTCGTTCGCATGAGACGTTAGATTGTGGTAAAGCTAGTATAGTAAGTATGAAATCAGATATAATCTTAAATGGGTACTCATCATCTCTCACAAACAATTTTAGCTGTATCCAAAATTCTTCAACATTTAATAATTTCAAGTTATCTACGAATTCAGTCTCTAAATTTATGGTACCAATCTTACGCCAACTATCATCTAAATCTTGAATGGATATATTTAACTGTTTTACTACTCTGGGGAACATCTGTATAAAAGGAATTAAAGTTGTGGGACGTTTGGATGAAAAAACTGTTTTGGGATTTAATTGAGTCAATGACTTAAGAATTGGATTATCAAAATCAAATCTTAATTTTATTTGACGACAACCAGTTATTAGTATATATTTACTAGAGCAAAGATAAAATGTAGTATACATAAACGTTTAAAACGTTTTATTTAAGACAAAAAAAAATAACAAAATATTTTGTTTTATGTAACTTATAACTTGATTTTCGACAGATGCCTTAATAGTTAATATCTTACACAGTTATAATAAATAATAATAGATATGGACCAGCTGCGTTATACCTAACAACAGCAATACCAATACGTCGTCAATACGTGAGGTGTGCACATGATAACAGTGTTTTATTTTTAACCATCATAATTCATAACAAATAACAATATAGCTATCGGCTATCGCTAATCGCTATGACATGGACGCATGAGTATTGACTATTGACGTATTGTACATTGGTACGAGTGTACGACCACAGAATAGATGAAATCAGAATGGACACTCCAAAAATTTACATGGGCTCTTATCGCAGACACGGTATTTTAGTCTAAAGTGCCACCAGTGTTACCAAAAAGTACAGTAAAAAAAATATTGTATATAATTTTATTATTTCAACCGAAGAATTGGCGGTTGCTTTGAAAATTCTGTAATTAACGATATAATATATTTTCGATGGATAATGTATATTTCATTAATAAGAGTAATAATATACTAATATTTATATTTAATATTTCATTAATATAATAATATGAAAGTAACTGCAGGTTTAAATATGGCAGTTAATGCGATCTACAGATATGATTGTTGACCTTCCAATAAAAGTAATTCCCTTATCGCGGTAATTGTCTTCACGGAAATACCCGTGGTATTTTTTTTGTACTCCCTATACAAATTAAATTACTACTGACAAATATAGTATAATGTATATTTGTATAGTTACTCCAGTGACTGAGTGACAGTGTAGTATGTGATGTAATTGAATGCGCATGTCGTTTATTTATTGAATTATTTACTTTTACATTTTTTTATGTTTAAACGAAAATTATTTTAATGATATTTACAAAACTAGAGGGGTTAGGTATGTATAATATTGAAATTAGATACAATATTAAACAAAATGTACTTCTCTACTATCAAATATACAGTGAGTGGCGGAGATTGCGCCACTAAAACTATTTAATTATTTTACTAACCAACTTCAATTTGGAGAATATTTAAAAGTGAGTTGAATTGTAAACTAAATATATTTATGCAAGTCACATAATATGTGTTCTGCCGTCATAAGCCACTAAGCAGTAACTCCAAAAATCGTTATGTTCAAGAAACAATAAAACAGTTTTCAACACTAAATTAGTCCGTAGATTAAAAATAATAATATTTTAAACATTAAATAGATTTCATACTATTGTTTTTTAATGAGGAATCTACTGAACACAAAAAAAAGGTTTTTTATACATTTTTATGGGTTATAATGGACTTACTGCTTATTGGCTTATATTAGTCAGAAGATGAAAAGCAGTAAGTACACTTTTATTTGGAGTTACTGCCTAATGGCTTCTGATATCATTGGCATGTGTTTGTAAAGTGATGTTTATGTGTTCTAGAATTTGTATTCAATATAGGTTTTTTGGAAACCATTTGAACCATTAATTTTGATCTGCTATTCATTTTTAAGCTGATTTACACTTAATAAGTAACGCGTACACAAAATATGTAGTACTTTCAAAATAATATGATGTTTATAGTGACTTATTACACAGCAAATACGGTTTAAATGTGTTTTTTGAAGTTATACTTCTTTACGCAGGGTAGTGAGGAAAAAAAAAAGCGAACGGGCGGTGCGTACTAACGGGCGGCGCGTACGAACGCGAAAGCGTACATGTCCGTAAATAAATAAATATTGTCATGGTAGTGTTGTTATATTATATATTAAAATTTATATATTATATTATATATTATTGCAACTGAATAATGATCCAACAATATCGACTACTAAATCAGGCACAACAATCGATGCAATTTTTACGCGATATATGGATAATGTTCAGTCACAAATGTACGTTTCATATTTCAGTCATCATATGCCAATCATAACTACTATACCGATTGAGCAAAATGACAATCAATCATTAGCATAAAAAATAATAATTAAAAAAAAAAATATAAAACATATAATTTACATTGTTTCTTTTATTTCTTTATTATCCTCATTACCCAGTCTATCCATGCCTTTCTTTCTTTTTCACTCACTCACGTGTACCATTCAAAAGAAGTTTAACTTCCCGCGCGCGTACTGATAACACACACACTTTTTTTTAAAATTGTGATTATATTATTCCTTATCAAGTTATCAGTAACATTATGGTAAACATTTTAATTCTATTTTGGGACCAACGTTAAGTTTACACCAATAATTTGGATTTTGTTGGAGATACTGCTTTCTGAATACAACGATTACTAGGGAAAAAAGCTACCCTGGAGTTACTGCGTTTTGTTCTAGTATTTGGACATACTGCTTATTTGCTTCTTATCTTAATGAAATCATGGATAAACCGTCTTTCTTGTTATGTTCTTATCAATTTATATGGATTTCTAATAAAAACCTTAAATTTTATTACGGGAATCGATAGAGAATTAAAATATCTACCGATAGACACCAAAAACTCGATTTTGACAAAAATGGAGTTACTGCTTAGTGGCTTATGACGGCAGTGTTAAGGTGGCAAGTTATGAGAACACAAGAAAAGTTATAGAAGCTTATAAACAAAATTAACTTTTTAGTTTTTAATTAGTTACCTAATGCCCGCTTTTGCATATGGACCATAGACCTTATTAATATAAAATAAATAAATAAGTTTGATACCTGTAATACAACCACATCGTTTGATAAACACAATTATTTGTAAGTATTAAAATAAATGCCATAAAAGTATAGCTTATTTGATATCTCTTGCAATAACCTATTGTAAAAATGTAATTTCTTCAATGCGCTATAGAGTATAGGTAATTGTGGGTAAAATCAACCAATAGTCAATAAAAAAAAGAAAAAAATACACGAGCATGATGTAAAAAAAAATATTTTATTTACAAAATAACTGCATACAAACAATTATTGTTTTAAAAAAAAAAAAAACCAAATATAATATATTTATTAAGAGAGCTGCAGTCGATGTAAATAAAAGTTGCTTTTTGGTCTAACAGCCAATTTGTTTTCATCGACTGCAGCCCCATTAAGTTTTATTTTATGATATGGAATTTAAATATATTTAAAAATATTAAAATAAACAAAATTTATGTTTAGAATGGTAAAATCTAATGTTGAGCTCTGAAAAGAACTAATTTCAAATACAAGCAAGTTTGTAAAACATTAACACAGCGATAGAACACTGAAACAAAAAAAAAAAAGGTAAATAATTTTATAAATGTTGTAGTACAGTAAACTTTCAATTTTTCAATTTCTTCTCTGAAACTAAAGCCCTGTTTAAAAATTTGATACCTGTAAAAATTCTGAAGCGTGTAAATAAATTTATTAAATATGATTTTTCAAAATATTCACAGGGATGATCATACGGTACATTAGAAAAATCAATTTTCAACTTAGCCCCAACGCCTTCCTTATAGGCAATAGAGGGAACGTTATTGATGAATATATTCTCTAATTCAGAGATAAAATTATAAAAATCATCATCTGGCATCATCAAATTTCCAAATGTGGAATGGTTATTAGTAGAATATGCTTTAATAAATGACAGTAGAAAGGATTTATCCAATTGTTTTTGGTACTGAGCATACTCAATACAAATATCACAGGTATGTTTTTCCAGACATTTTTTCATTAAATACCCACACACATAGGTAAATGTGTTTATTTCAGGTAAATCTAAATGTCTGTAGTCAACTGTACCTACAGCAATACCTTTAAACATAAATAGTTCTTTGTTTGGTTCTTCTAGAATAAGATATTTACTAGAGGATGGCTCATCTGAGCATAATATTTGGTCAAAATCCTTTATACAATTTGTACCAGGTGAATGCTGAAAATAATTCAAATAGAGCATTTTTTTAAATGCCCATATAAATTGGATTGGTGTAGGGTTCAAACAATTGCCTTGCTGTAGGCGAAAGGAACCAATTACATTTTCCAAGCCGTCCTGATTGAACCTACCAGTGTATAATACATAATCTTTGTTTTTTGATGCTTTTAATGATTTCCATATCATTTTTGAAGCCGCTATCGAGATTAACCATCCATTAATAAAGTTTCAATATTAGTTTCATTTGTACCATTATATTTATGAATTACAAGTAAGTTTTTAAAAACCCCTTCCATTTCATTTAAATGATTGATTTGGGCTTCTGTACCCTTAAACGGCCGATTGTATTATTTTCTTTTAGGAATCTTGGAAGAATTGAATATATCAAAAAACTTGTCCATATCACTTATGAAGTCTATCGTAAATTGGGCACAAGGCGGTAAAATACCAGCTACTAAAGCAATCGACATACCAGAAGCAACAGTTCCACTAAATACTTGTGTAGCCAAATAAACCCTCATTTTTTCAAAAGGCCCTGGGTATGTATGAGCATACGTCAATTTTGGTGCTAATCGAAGATTACATTTGGAGTCATGATTGTAATAAGAAATAAGATGGGCTTTATTAACAACATTATCATTAATTTGAAAATTATTTTTAAATAACATGTTACGAGTTGACTTAATCAAATGAGGAGGATCAAAAATATAAACAATTGATTTTCCTTCTACATCAAAATAAGGCTTACTAGGGGAAACATAAAGGCTTTTTGAAAACTGCACAAAATTTGTGCCTTGGTCCGTAATAAATGCTTTAATATTCAGATTAATATTTTGCAGGCGACAAATTGTTGACAAAATTATGTCCTTTAATCAATTCCTGTACAGCTACTAGACACAAGAAAATAAGCAACTGGTTGTTTCCAGTCATAATTTAGACTTCTGATCATAAGGACCAGAGCATACTTAGCAGGTTCATATTTTCTACGGTTAGAAGATTCATGGAACCAACTATTTTATCATTATTAACCCTGTAAAACAGATTAGTTTTTAAAGCCATTTCGTCACCACACAAAACACAATCAAGCCAATCTGATTTAAAATTACTGATTTTAAGCGAAAGGAAATTAAATAGAAAATCATTAAAACCAGGATTGATTTCATATTTAAAAGTGATTCTTCTCAAAGTCCGACTAACCGGATGGGACAAAGATTTTTGCATCATTCTATAAAGTTTAGGACTTACAAAATAAATATTTAAAGCAAGTTGCTTTATGTCATTAGAATACCTTTGTCCACATTGTTTCCACTGTTTATTTTCAAATTGAGACTTGACCAGCATAAACATTGTGGGAGAGCAATGTTTCTCACACACTTTAAGGGCCGTTTCAATAGAATACGTGTCAACAATCTGCCGATGAGAATCAATCACTGATTGTAGCTCTCTTCTCTTCTTTATTTCCTCATTTAGTTTCTTCCTAAGTGCGTTCTTCCGTGGAGTACGATGAGTTAATGATGATGGAGTTTGACATTTGGATGAACATGTTTCTATTGTAATTGATGATGAATCTGATAGAATTGAACGAACAGAAGATGCATCTGAAACCAGGTGCATACCAGGTGTTAAACAGGATAGAGAGTAATCATTTTCATTGTCATCAAAAACATAATTTTTATCAATATGTTCCTCTGCCACAACTTCAAATAATGTTGGTATTGCATATGGCTTAAGACGGTTGTTCTGATCATTACTAAACATCCTGCCTTCAAAATGTAATGAACATTTGTTCACAGTTACTATATCAACATTATTTAAATGACATAATTGAACATTGACCATCCAAACTGCACATCTTTAAATTAAAAAAAAATAATCAAATAATCAAATGTATGTTATATTAATTTACTCAAAAAATGTCTTACCTTGAAGGGTCCTTTGGAAAAGAAAAATTACTTATTAAATCCGGATCCAATTCAAAACTTTTGCAGTCTTTAATACAGCATTTACCTATTCTAAAGTGTTTATTTAGTAAGTCCATAATCACTGGTTGTGGCGTAAAATTACAAGAATTTCAAAATATCTAATTAAGTATTAACCGAGGACTTGTAGAGGTCTCGTGTTCACTTTTTAAGAAATATGAAAAGTGAATTTTTCAGTTTTTTACAAACCAGCCTTAAAAAAGCAGTTTGTTTACAAACAAATCCAAATAAAGCGGATGCTCAGAGTGGTCTTTTGCGACATAAATCAGAAAATAAAAATAGTTTTATTACATGGCTACACTGGTGGATCTTCAGTTCTTATCATGGTTTTTGGAGAGTGTCCATTCTGATTTCATCTATTCTGTGGTACGACTGTCGACTGGCTACTGCATATTGACGTATTAATTAGTAATCAGTAATCACTATTCGTTAATCGTTGTCTCGTTGACTTAATAATATGATGACTGGCCAAAGGAAAGATGCAATTTGGAACTACTTCATCGAAATCAAAGACAAACATAGAACAACACGTGCTAAATGTCTAAAATGCTCGATAAAAATGGCCGGTCTAGTAAAGCGTATGAAATTGCATAAAAACAAATGCATTAGTATTTTGGAAGATTCAATTGTCGATGAACCAGAAAATGATCAATTAACAGGTAATCAAGAACATTATTTAAGTGTTAGGTCTTAGGTGTAATATACAAATATATGTATTGGTGTATGGCATTCAAATGATAGCAAATTAATCATTATAAATTATAATATATTTTAATTAATAACAGTATACTAACAGTATTTAAAAAACAACAATATCAAAAAACTTATTGTAATAGATAGGTATACTATACACATTAACGATTAACTATACTATTGTGGCACCAGTGGGGTTACCCCACACTGTGTCAACATACGTTCGTTCTGGACTCCGTCGCAGAGAGGTTAGGTATACAAGTTTTAGGTGACGCTAAAGAATGAACACAGATTTCGTGTGACGCGTTGCGTCGAGATCGTTTATTGTTTGATACGAAATATGAGTACGTGGTCGTCCACAGTACGACAATAGTAGGTACAAATATCGGTCGAGCGCGTGGTCGTATCGGGCCGACGGTTTTGGTGTGCTCGATGCACGCGCGGTCGAGTGAGCGTCGATACGTAGGCGAGCCGGACATGAGTTCGGCGATCGTGGCGAGCGGTCGTGTACGGGGACCCTATGGGTCGTGTAAGTGTAACACGGCTCGTCGGTTGTCGAAACATGGCGTCGGGTAGAGAGCGGAATACTCGGTACGTGTGGCTCGGTCGAGGGCGGTGAGCAAAGAGAACGACGTCGGCCGGTCGGACGGCCGCGTCGGGGGCGATAGAGATGGCGTCGCCAATCGGAGACGCGAGATCGATTTGCGTAGGAACATAAATATATAAAAATCACAGAAGTTGTATACAATAATTACGAATATAAAATAAATCACATATGACAATAATATAAATATGGTTGGTACCGCGGAACGGGTGGTAACTCGGTCGGCGAGAGCAAAGTGGTGATAAGACCGCGTATCACCATTACTCCCCCTCGGAAAGGAAAAAACGAACCAGTTTTTTAAGGCGTTGGTCGGATGAGGTGCGAAGTGACAGCCGAAGATGAATGTTGAATGGGAAGGCGAAATGTCGGTGGTCGTCGTGCGTCGATCTGCGGTGGCGGTCGGAGTCGAAAGTTCGCCGTACGAATGTCTACCGGGCTGGTGAATGTTGACGGGAAGGTGACTGACGTTGCCTGTTGATCGGAAGTTGACCGTCGTCGGAACATTGCCTGTTGATCGGAAGTCGACTGTCGTTGTGACGTTGCCTGTTGATCGGAAGTTGACTGTCGTTGGAATTTTGAAGTTTGGTCCGAAAGTTGAGTTTTGAAATTTTGAAAAAGTTGTGTTGACATATGGTCCGAGTGATTAAAAATTTTGTGCGGTCGATGAAAGAAAAAAAAAAAAGTGGCATATGGCTGAAGTTTTTTTATTTATGGCTTCATTGTGTTCGTTGGTTTTTGCATTTTGCACGGCGGGCGGCAGCTTAAGGACGCCGAGCAGTACCGCTGATGGTAGAAACACGTGGTCGCGGGTCCGGGGGGCGCAATTGGCGTGACTAGGCGTCGCAGGCGCGCGACCTCGATGCTGAGGCGTGCGACCTCGTCGGTGAGACGACGGATCTGCCCTCCGCCTCTTGGGACTCACGTAGAGTGATGTCGATGTTGGTCGTATTGGACGACGTCGTGGCGAAAGACGAAGCGGTGGCCGCTGAAGCTATGGAGACAGCCGAACCGAGTCGCTGCCACCAACTCGGGGCCTTCGGCGAAACAGCTTCGTATAAAATGCAAATATAAACAACTAGTGAAAATTTCATGTATATACGTTCATTTATTTTAGAGTTACACCAATAACCAAAATCGATTTTTTGGAAAACTTTGCGTAAAAATTCCCGTTTTTCCTTAATTTTTATGTTGTTTTTCCCGGCTCTTGTGAAAACTACTGAGAAATTTTTACTCTCCAAAGTACCAACTAGATTCACTTTCCTATCAGAAAAGCTACTGTTGAAGAAAATCCAAGCACTTTTACTGTCCTAAAACGTGACAGACACAAAAAAAAAAATTAAAAATTAAAAAAAAAAAAAAAAACACACATCATTGTAAAATCAATACATTCATCGTTTCACTCAGAATCTAAAATTGCATTTACTTGCCTAAATTCTATATATATTTCATGTATAACGTAGATAGTTACATAATATACAAGCATAATAACATTTAATATACGAATGTAAATATCCAGTATACTACCAGAAGTCACTATTTCTATATTTTGGTTTTTATACATCAAATTTGACTTTAAATAATATTAAAAAAATAGTTTGTTGACACATTAATACATTAAAAAAACAGTAAATAAAAATCATTTACATTTTGTATTTAGTTAAGTAAAAAGTAATAATAAGTCTCAATTATCTACACACCAAGTATCTATTTAGTTCAATTTTTTATTTATTTTAAACCAACAAACCATGTTTAGTAATCAAAGGTAAGATATTTATCAATAGAGTAATATGGTTGGAAACTGGCTGGACAGTGATGTGATATGATATACATCTTTTAGTAGGGTAAATATATAAACTTAAATTCAATCAACCAACCGGGGAAGTTTTATTTTAGTACATTGAAAATGTAAATTTGTTTGTTCAATTACATTTTAACCGTTTCTTATTTTATTTCATTGGATCTATTTATAAGAGTCAATCAACTAAAGTAGAATTCAATTATAGTAAAAATTTTAACTTCAAAAAATACAAAATTGTTTGTTTGTTTTTTTCAACGTTTTATTTGTAATATCTATTTATTAGATTTTATAATTTGTAATTAAGTTTTATAAAATAGTAAGTTTTTGTATATCAAGTATCAGAAATAGCTGAAGTGGATTATTGTGTACGAGACATCTAGAATCTAAATATATTCTATAATAATCTATTTTAGATTCTGAGTGGAACGATGAATGTATTGATTTTACAATGATGTGTGTTTTTTTATTTTTTTGTGTCTGTGTACACGATAAGGAGTCGAAATAGTGCTTCGATTTTCAACTTCAGTATCTTGTTCGATTGGAAAGTGAATATCGTTGGTGCATTGAGGAGGTCAAAATTTAAAAACAGAGCGACACCCACTTGCCCACCTTTTTTTTTTATGAATATCAATAAAAATTTATTTGTTGAGTAAAAATACTTGAAAATTTAATACAAGGCTCCTACTATATTGTTTCAAAGACAGATGAAAACTATTAAAAATCGATAGTCACAGTTTTTTTTTTTTAAGCATTTAAAGTTCAAAAAATGACAAAATATGGAAAAATTACGAAAATTTGCAAATTATTTCGAGTTAGAAATTCATAAAATTTTTTCTTTTTAAATCTAAGATATGAAAATGTAATACAAGATTCCTTATAAGATTTCCTACATTTATCAAAAAAAAAAAATTGTATAAGGAAGTCAAATTAAATTTTTATGAGCGTTTGAAATTCAAATTTTTACAACAGTGGATATTCACTCGATTTCTCATGTAGCGATTTTCTTATTTTGTTGTAATTCAAAAACGAATAACTGTAGATACATGAAAATTTCACTGAATGTTTATATTAGCATTTCCTATACACCATACAATTATGAAAATATTTTGATTTTTTTTGAGCTGTTTACGGACATTTTCAGTTTTCAATTTTTAGATTCTGAGTGGAACGATGAATGTATAGATTTTACAATGATGTGTGTTTTTTTTTTTCATTTTAATTTTTTTAATTTTTTTTGTGTCTGTGTACTCGATAAGTAGTCGAAATAATGCTTCTATTTTCAACTTCAGTATCTTGTTCGATTGGAAAGTGAATATCGTTGGTGCATTGGGGAGTGCAAAATTTAAAATTCACAGTAATTTTCAAAAGCGCCAAGAAAACCCAAAGAAAAATTAAGGAAAAACGGGAATTTTTACGCAAAATCGATTTTTCACAAAATTGAATTTGGTTTTTGGTTTAACATTAAAAAAAATGATCGTGGATACATGAAATTTTCACTGGTTGATTATATTTAAATTTTCTATATGCAATAACATTTTCAAAATATTTTGATTTATTTTGAACTGTTTAGGGATATTTTCATTTTCCATTTTTTTTAGTTTTTTTTCTAGAAATATCAATAACATTTTATTTGTTGGTTAAAAAAGCTTGAAAATTTAATAGAAGGCTCCTAGATATTTGCAGGAAGTGGTTGTCCTATTCTGTTATAAAAAATAAAATATTTTGCCTTTAATGTGCGTTGTTTGGAAATCATGAAAATAAGAGTTGGACACGTGAAGGCTTTTCAAACTGGAAAAATGGAGTTGCTAAAATTATTATTCATGAAACCTCTGAAAAGCATATAACAGCATCAATCAAAGCTATGTACAAAGAAGCTTCATTTCCTCTTTTACCATCAATAATAGAACAAAATAGGTCAAATGTGTGAATAGAGAAATAGTTAGCCATTTGGTATATCTGACTTTGTTTCTTGCTATACATTGTCTTCCATTTAGAGGGCACAAAGAAGGATGGCAAGATGAATTGAGAGTTAATTTTGAAGATCTAGCTTTGCTTTTAGCAAAATATTTTCCAGATTTGGCTTCATATATTACAGAAGTACAAATCAGAGGGAAAAAAACCCAAAACTTTTTATCATGCCAAAGACAAAACCAGTTAATACAAAGTATATCTACTGATATTCGTAATGTGATACAAAAAGAAATTTTAAGCTCTACATTTTTTAGTGTTTCGTTAGACATAACTTTTGACATATCACGAAAAGAGCAGCTGTCATTGGTTTTTAGATACATAAATCAAACTTCAGGAATAGTTTATGAAAGATTAGTGGTGGTTCGTGAAACTTTACTCACAACTGGAGGTCATCTTTTTACCATGTTTGAAAAAATGTGTAAAGATATAAACCCAAATTGGAAAGAACACTTGATTGGTCAGGCTTATGATGGTGCTGCATCGATGCGAGGAGCTTACAAAGGACTTCAAGCAATTATCAAAAAGGAAAACCCTAGAGCTACTTACGTTTGGTGTTGGGCACATCGATTTAATCTCATAATTATAGATGCAGTAAGTACCTGTGTGGTAGCTCGTGAACTTTTTAGAA